TGAAGCTTCCAGTTTACCTGCGCAGTGGTTTGCGATATCCAGCTAAATGGTCCTCAACTCTGGTCCACGGCTAATGCGGGGTCTTACTGCCCCTGTTGACGGTGTTGTGACATCTAATCCTTTTGCTCCTCTGCGTCTCCTTCACAAGGCCAGACACCAGACACTAAGGCCCAAACTTTTGCCACAGGTTAAGTGGCTCACACACCCCCACCCCCTGAATTGCCCCATTCCCCCTGGCTCACGCATTCTTACTTACTACAGGTTCCGTCACACCAAAAGGATTAGATGTCATACAACCCCCTGTTGACAGGCGAGTTGGCGTAAGCTACATTTCGAAATAATAGTCAACTAACTCATCTATGTGCTGCAGCTCGAAATTCAGGTCAGGTACTCAGTACAGCACATCGGATCGGATCAACCTTGAACTAGTTGAAATTCGCTGTACATACAGTGCGTTTCATAATTATAAGGTCACCCTAAAATTTGCATTTCCGGGAAAGCAGCAGACTGGGAATTTTTCTAGTATTACCAGCTGATTCTCCACTGTGAATAACCTCTGTATCACAATTTTGCTTTCTAGCACATCCTAAGTTAAACATGACATTGGTCTTCCAAGAAGTTACGGGCAGTGAAACCTAAGAAAACCCGCGTTTTCGGGAAAATGGCTTGAAGAATACCCCTCAAAAAAAGTAACAACGGGACTAATTTTTGAACTGCTGACTTTTCAGGAACGTTTGGGTGCTCGTTAGAAAGCTTGAATCCTGTAGTTTGTCATACCGTGTTCAGCTTCCCAAATGAATGAGTTGAAGGAAGTTATGATCGTTTGAAGGTAATGTGGAAGCCAGTGAGAGTGAAAGAAATATTCGCCACAAGCACCAGCATACTTTATCACGATTCGGCGAAGAGGTGCGTATCAATCACCGCAAACTGTGCTGTTGAATAGCTGAAAGGAAATCGGGTACAGATCTAACTACGAAATGCTTCCAGTGACGCATTCGTGTTATAAGGCTTTTCTAAGGAGGAATGAATTCTTTTCAAAAGATAACTGTGTTTCTGCAAAATGTGTTAGGTGATATATGATGCCTGTTCCGATTGTCACTCTCAGAACTTCATATTTTTATGGTTCAATCTGCTGGCCATTCATTGGCTAGTTATTGAGGGACAGGGCTGCGATCGTAGTAATGTACCAAAGAGGAGCTGAAGCCTTTTTCTAGAAAGTTGCGAAGAAGGAACTTCGGGATGCCCTGCGGGAAACACCAGAGTTGCGTTTGGAGCAACTGGAAGGCATACTCACAGCTTCAGGGCGACATATCGAACAGATGTCATTCCTTTCAACATTTGAGACGGACTTAAGAGTAATGTGTGACGTGATGAAATGATGGATTGAGGATGCGTCCACTTGAGGAGGGTACAAGATTAGAAAAAGTTTGCAAGTATTTATGGAACACCATGTAATTTCCAATGAGAGCATATGGCATTCGGCGTTTCAACTAGCGTTTGAGATGCAACACACATTCTGCTTCCATTCAAGTCGTTTAATTTGAATTACGACTGGGCCTCTACAATGACTTGCGGGGGCCAGCGGGAGTATAGGTCAGTGTTTTTAACCTCGCAGGTAAGTTTTGTACCAAATAATCGATCCGTAAGGACGGTAACTCGTTAGCTGGCGGGTGAGATCAGATCCGATCCGTTATTGCCTATGGTATACTTGTTATTTTCACATCACCAGAATTGATAGGAGACGTTGCTTCAAACTAGTTTGCACGTGGTTTATTCTGGTTGGTGGCATTTTTGATTGTTGTTGCAAAGAATAGGAAATTCTTGCGATGCGTCAGACCGCGTGGCATTTGTTTTGATTAGGATATGTGAATTATTTTATACAAGGTTTGTAACCGATGTGAGGGTGCTCTGTATAAATGGAATGTTTATCGCTAGTGAATTTGGTTTCAAAATGCCAACGCCAAGGATTCGGGGCTCAATAGTTTAGAATGAAACGTCTGTATAGATTGTTTTTGGTGATGAATGATGACGGAGTGTTGTACTGTAGTTTGTTGAAAGGCGGGTTTCGATTTCGCACATGAATGTGAGCGTTATTCTGGGAATGTATAAACAAGAGCCGAATAAGAGTGCAGCGAAGGGGAATCACTGCGTACAGGACTTCCGCACCCCCCCCACTCGTCCTATATCTGACCAGTTGTTTTCATGCAGCATTACCTGGACCCACTACGATTGGTACAGCTGCATGACAGTGGATCCTGAAAGAAGGTTGACAAGCACTCGCATGAAAACAAGCAAAATTACAGAGATGAATCCCTTCTGTGCAGTAGACAGGGAAATGCTTGGAAAGGAAATAGGATAAGTGCAGCGCAGTGCGCACGTAGTCGTTATGAATTAGACGAGCGAATGAGAGTACGAATGATCTCTTTTTTAAAATACTTTGCAGGATATATATCATTAAGTCAGATGATGACATCATACAGCTTTCTCGGTACCATATCGTGGGCTGAATTTGGCCGGTTAAGTTTCCATTCCTTTGAAAACCGGACTTGGAGGACGGAACTGCGTAGGCTCAAATCATCGCTGAAGTGAGTGTTCCCCCCCCCCTGAAAAGTGTATCTTGTGATAAATATTGTCTTAATCTGAGATCTGCGAATATTTTTTAGTCTTGTGTTGGTATCTCGAATGAAAATAATAATGGGTGTAAATATTTTGTCGTATTGTAAGATCACGGGTCGGTATTTCGGTTTTAGTGTAAGAGACTCTTCATGTTCGCCTCTCCTCTTCTTCCCTCCTCTCAGTAATGTCGGTCGATACATCTTAAAGTTTGTTCATTGTCTTTAAAATTTGTCCCAATAAATAATATAAAGAGGAAGTGATCGTTTGTGGCTATTAGGTTAAAGAACTGGTCAGGTAGGGTCGGGTAATAATATTGGTGGTTGTATAGAAGGTGTCGGCTAAACACATCGTCGGAATCCGATTCTATTTGTTTGTGCGCTCGTGCAGGGATATACGAGGGCCAGCCGGTGAAATTAAGAGTTTTATAGTGCTTAAGTGAACAAAAACAAACTTGGTAACCGATTAAGAGAAGGGACTTAAAGGTAGTAAGTCGTAATCGACGGAGGGGTATTGCGGTGTGTGGCGGCGTCCCAACACGCCACCTGCTAGGACCTGTTGCTAGCTTAAACAATGCAGATAGTTGTATGGGTGTAAGGCTTAGGAATTGCTGTACTGATACCATGCTGTACCATAACTATGCAAAGGTGTTTGAACTGATGGCTTTCGAATCTGCAGGAAGGTTGTCATGCTTCTTAGTTGATTGTGTTTTGGGTACATTTTGACAACATTCGCAATCATCCTTTAGCCTGAATAACTCGTTGACCTTAGAGAGGGACCATCTAAGGTTCTTTGCACCATAATCTGAACACAGCTTTCTTCTGACAGAGCAGCTCTCAATAGGGATTCGATGAATCAACAGAGGGGGTACCAGGAGGCCCGGTCGCGCAGGCAAGAAGGCGGAGGTCTTCGGACGATTGCAGCGCTGTGATGTCGATGTTAGGACGGTGCAAATTGACGGACCCATAGTGCGCGCGCGGACTCGTCCTGCTTGCCTCTTCTCCCCCGCGACGGGGCCTTTGAGGGGGGTCTCCACAAAGATTGAAACGGGAAATGTAGAATCATATGGAAAGACTATGCGACAACTTTGAAGATCCCATTTAAAAAACCAGTGATGTTTCGTTAGGCGCTGTTCGAGTTTGATCTATTACCATATTACGCCCCACCCTGCAATTGTAGTACACTAGGTAAATCGGGTGATAACATTTTTCAGAATCAGTCGATGAAGGTTTTGGTACAGTTACATTCTTCAGATTCATTTTATTCCTGTTTGAACGCCTTTCGAGTGTACTGAATGTATCGTGTTCGGCGAACAATTACTACCGTTATGGAGTCGTAGTTGAGTTGAGAACAACCAATCGTTGTCTCCTCGAAAAAGTTTGCGTTCGGATTGGAAACTGTGGTGTCTCCGGTGACAATGACGGAACTTCACTTGAAGATTAAGGTTGAGATCTTAACTGAAATATTGTGCACGTCAAATCCTTGCATAAAAACTATGCAACCCTTTTTGTGCTTGAGGTAGTGCGATTGCGGAGGCGTGCGTTTGATGACGTCATTTTTGAGGCAGGTAGGTAAGGGCGGCGCACAAACTGATACCCATGATCCACGAAAGACGATCAGTTTATCAATGACTGTTCAATGACGTCATCAAATCGCTCGTCACCAGCATCGTAATATATTGATAAAGCAAACTGGAATGTCAAGGAAAAGAATTACAATGCCGAATGGGTGTTTTTACCGATGTAAAGAAAACGGTATTCCTGGTTTATTGCCTCCCATATTGAAGTACGTCCAGATACAGGGGATTTTAGTTAGATAATGTTGAGCTCTGAATAGAAAGTTATGTTATGTTGTACAGGGGCGCCATAACTTTGCAATAACATGCGAAGGACCTTTATATAGCTATTCTACAATTTTTAGAGCTTTGTAACTCGATGTGAAATGATTAGGACGTCAGCTCCTTCCTGAGTTCGTAGTATAAATTTCTTTTTCTAATAAATATAGGTACAGGCACAAACTTTCAGTCAGGACAATAGTGTATCACTGTAAACCTCTCCTCAATACAGACAAGTTAGGGTTATATCCTACCCTTCAAAAAGCGAGAAAGTGTCGGGTGCAGACCATGCACCACAAGTGACGACGGCCTTCACAAAATGTTAATGTTTTCTGCCAATGAAATGATTAGCCTGTTGCAGTTGTATTGTCACTAATTACAACTATCATTTACCAGAAATCAGCTATCACTATGAACAACTTCTAACCAGATTTACTTGGAGGCCGTCGTCAGTTGTGGTGTTTGGTCTGCACCCGACACTTTCTCGCTTTTTGAAGAGGAGCTTCCTGAAGGGGAGGCTACTTACCTCCGAGCTAATATTCCCAAGAGTACATCATTTGCTTCTGTCAAACGTGAAACTTACTTGGAAGGTGTTCGCCTCTTCGAAGAGTTTCCTGTCGAAATACATGGCGAACTCGATGTCAGGGCGATTTCCACCAAGCCACTGGATTATGTTGCCCAAGTCTGGTTCAACTTTGGCGTTCATCGAGAGCGAGAAGCCGTTTGGTTTCATTCCTGTGATTTTTATTGTTGTTGGTGGGATGAGACTGTAACTGCTGCCATTTAGAGTGACACAAACCTGTAAGGACACCGACGTGTCCGGCTAGGGTTGTCCCTTTGAACAAGGTGGTCCCATTACGAATGAAATTCAGATTGACTGTAACTTTCTTGAGAGAGTCAGTGAGATCCCAGGATTGAGCACCGATGTTCCAGACAAACAGCTGGCCAAAATCGAGATTTCTAGAACACTTTTGCGTTTGAAAAAACAGGTCAACACTTATGAACCCAGTTGTAATGATGTCAGGTGATTAAATGTTTACTCATTACTCGCCTCGTTTCAGACTTCAACTTACCTCGCATGGAACATGTCCTTGTTGCCGGACGGTTGTGCCACAATGGATGTGCAAAAACGTGACAGCTCGTAGAAGATGTTGAGAAAAGCCAGCTGACCAAGATTGACACCAATCTCGTCAGCTATTCCCTGCAAACGAACTCCTGAGTGTATCGAATATCGCAGAACTCGGGAAAAACCGATGTGAAATGCCTGATTTACTGGTGCTACTACGAGGCAGGGAAATTTCACATTTGCACGGAGATAGAGCACTGTAGGGACCCGATTCGTGGATTGTTTCAATTATTATTGACGTTAAAGGATTTCGCCCCGGGAATTCCTGCGTCCTCTCCCAATATTAATAGTATGTCAGTTGTGATCACTACAGACAAAGTTCAAAATTCCACGCGAGAAGGTTGAGTTTCCGGAGAGATGCTCACGGAAACCACACTCTGAGGACGGTCGCGGGTAGGTCGGGCGGAAACAAGGGAACGCATGGAAAGAAGTGCGCCTTGGAGCGGCCACGTATCAGGAAACGCATTGAAAAATTGAAGAAGCGTTCGAATTTGGAGAGTAGAGACAAAACGATCGATAGAATAGGATGCAGTAGAAAAGAGAAATGTTGTTGCCATGGACCAAGGCCAAAAAAATCCCTGGTGAAGGACCCCGAGGACCAAGTGGAAACGTTACCACCATTTGTGAAAGATGTTCGGCGGGAATTCAAGCGCGTAGCATTCTTTCCGATTTTTCGAATTGTTCACCAAAACAAACGCTTTTCTTTCTTTCGTTCTTATCGTGAACGATGGGTCTCAAGCCAGTGATTTATGGGTTAGATGGAATTACGATTTTTCCAGGAATTTTCTGTAGAAAATCAGTCGTTAAGTTAGTAACCAAGAATTGTTGCAAAAACAGGAGAGCAAAAAGTCGCTGATAGAAAAAAAGAATCGTTGATGAGAGAAGGTGAATACGAGCGAGAACGGTGACGCTAATTCACGGGTAGAGCCCCGGGTGAGGTGGAGCCCTGTGTAAACCTAACTCCTCTGGCCGTTTAGTGCCATGAGGTCGGTATGATCGTATCAATTCACTGACGTAAACTTGAATTTTTTCTTCATGGAAGCTTCATTAAAGGTGGAGTCTGCGTTGAGATCTGATGGAAGAATAAAGCAAATATGTTATTAGGGCATTTCTAAATCGAAGTTGTTTTGCCCCAGAAAATTTACTATCAACGTTAAGTAGCGACATAGGCATCCATATATTTGGAATGAATGGAGAATCGTGTCTGCTGGACTGAAGACTTGCTCCAGGGTTAGAGGAATCCTTCACGGAAAAACCCCGCCCTCATTCCCACGAAAAAACGATACCTTAGGCCCCTTGCTTCATGATAGCAAAAAGAACGGAACATAGGCGATGGTTTTGATAATAATTATGATAACCAGTTCGACTATGAAAATTTTGAATTCCCGCTGTAAAACTTCCACAACTGTTAGCGGCGTGGAGTCAACACGTGCAAACGTGTCAAAAGCGTGAACGTGAACAGGATTCATTGGCCCTTCCCATAAACTGACACGTGGATCCGCACCTGCCATGCACTTCGTCACAAAAGCACTTCCGGTCCCGCCTACTGGTCCAATCCGGTCCACAGATGAGCCAGGTGCTGTTTCTTTTGGGTATTTCATCATTTTCGCTCGAACTTTGCACATGGTCTTCAATGACCATGCCTAACACCTATACACAAGACAAGAATGACCAGTCTTTTCGTGGAAGATTCCTTTAAATTCGAGAACAACTCGCAACAGCGACACCACTTGCCACCGTACCATCTCCGCCTATCACTCGACTACGTAGACTGTGTGTAGGTGGAAGTAGGTGGAGGTAGGCTCAATAGAAACATGAGCAAAGTCTATAGCTAAGGAATTTGAAAAATTTGAAACTAAAATTTTCATGGGGTACTTTGCTCTTATTCGCTGTTTCTCCTTTGAAATTCTTTCGTGAAATGCTCAAGGTGAGAAGATGTCAAAACTCACTTGTACTTCGTCTTTGTAGGGCTCCATAATCATTCCTTCTTCGAACACTTTGAGCATGAGGTCACCGAGCATATCCCATACAGGAATTCCAGGGATTATCGAGAAGAAGTTCTGAAAGGGATTCTGTTAGTCGATTATCAACTCCTCATGGAACAAATCTTTCCTAAGGATGGGTTACTGAGCGGAAAATAGTTGGGAATCACTAAAAGCAAGTACTTACAAAAATAACTAATACAATGGGTTTTGAACTCATCCTCTACTGACGTCAGCAGTAGCCAAAAATGCTACTTATGCTTTGGTGCTGCTTTTATTTCTGCCTACTACTGGCGCCACAGGCAACCATAGAAGGAGTTTGGAGGCAACTTCCCTCTTTGCGATGAAATTACTGAACTCACTCCAAGAACGTCGAAAACTGCCTGAATCTCGTTTTTGAAAGGTCGAACCACGTGCTTGAATCGCTCCTTAGCTGGAGCATCCAAATCGACTGTGAACCATGGCACCTAAGAAACTCGTAACTTCGAGGTAACTGGGTGGCGACTAACTCTCAGTCAGAATACCTCCATAGATTTAGACGGATCATAGAGATTGGCTTCTCCTACTCGGCATTCTGGAGGATAGTCCGGATTCGGGACAATTCGAGCATCGCACTGAGACAACTGCAACAAATTGCTACATTTTTCGTACTTAATTTCATCATCTACAAGACATTCAAAGGAGCTGAATAATTCTGATGCAATAAGCATCCGTCAAGCGACAGTTCTTATGGTTGAAAAGAGCCTCAAATAGCACATTGAACTGGGAGCCATAATGAAGGGCTGCCTACTTACTGATTTTGCTACATCCTGTTTAAATTGACTGATGCCTCACGTCCTCTGACAAGAAGATGCACTACGATGGCATAAAAATTGAGCCATAACTAAATACTTCAAGTGCTTACCAGCCCAATCAACAGAACGAGCAGCGAGATGAGCATGCTGAACTGACGCTCCCGCTGGTGTTTCAGCTATCTTGTTCGCTTATCACCGCTCAGTTTCTTAATCGCAGGTTCCTTGGTTCCTCTAATTTTTCGCGGTCTCTTGGCCATAGAACATTCGCAATTCAGGGAAGGCACTGGGATGTAAAAAGAGGCGCCACGATACCAAGCACGTTACGAGGACCGAAACCATCTTACGTCCACATACCAGGAAATGCTTTGAACTTCCCATGGAACTTTGGAAGGAGACCTAGATGTATCGATAGAGTCTTGAACGCTGATTACAAATATGGACACTAAAACTGCTACGTGAACTTCCTAAGAAAGTTATGAGCCTTCAAAGTTGGCAAAAACGTTACTGAGGCGAGCTTACCTGGTGGAATCACAGTCGCCGTGGCTCTGCGCCAAAAACGAGTCTCATATTCGTAATCAGGGCACCCATTTACCCTTATAGAACAAGTTCCAGGCAAAAAGCAACCGTGTTTCCACATAGGTTGCACCTCATCATTAGCGTTCTTTGCAACTTTTAGAGCAAAGAAGCCCTTACCATGGCTAGAAGTGCTGGGTACGCAAGTGCAAAGGTAGCGCCACCTTTCTACATCGAAACGCGTCACTAGGACCCTAGGCGCCATGGACTTCTAACAGACTCCACCAAACTTAACATGGTCCGCCCACCGTTCGATATCTTGTCTGCGTCGCTGCGTTCTGCTATGCTCTCTCTTCTCGGACTTCTCTACCGCTCTCCGCGCTCACATTATCTCTCATCTCCCTGCCTGTCTTTTGAACTTCTCCACAGCATAGAGCAAAATGCTCGTATTTCCTGTGTATTTCAGGATTTTTTCCTTTTTTCTCCACTGGCGGTCCACCTCCCATCCCTACTTTCACAAGTGGAATCACCCCATCAATCTGAAAACGACCCTTGCCTTTAAGGCTCACAACTTTCTTACAACTACGTAGCAGTTTTAGTGTCCATATTTCTAATCAGTGTCGAAGACTTTACCGATAACCTTTCAAAGTTCCATGGGAAGTTCAAAATATTCGCTTGTTAGTCTTCCGAACCCTTGAGGTCAGTTCTGTAGTACCAGGCCTGTTATGAAAGTGGAAATGTTTTTTGCTGTTCGGACAAAATTTTTAAAGCCTTTTCATTCTGTTCATTGTTCATTCAATTCATCGTTGTACGTATAGGCGCTTAGCGCACTCATGTGCCAGTTAGAAAGCACTAAGGTATAGCGCAAGAAACATTAGCTTTAACCGCTTCATCCCTTATACTCAATGAAGCCCCTCATCAACCACAACCGGCGGAGTGAAATTCAGGGTAGCGCCCTGAATTTCACTCCGGCGTTCTCTCTTGTGGAAAACGCAGGGAACAATGTGATGTTCCCAGGTGACTTTGGAATCCGCGATAACTGCTACCACTGCAAAG